TTATCCTGTGCTTCATCCAGGTGTCCTTCCAATTTCCTAAGCACAAGTGTCATTAAAATCAACTGGTATACAGAGGCCTTTGGCCTAAAAGTTGACAGGCCAGAAATATAAGGTTTGGGATCAGATGTCCTTTCAGGAGACCAAGTTGTAGCACTGACACACCTGGGGCCTTGAGCAAGTCTCCGCCCCACCCTGTCTCTGTGGGAGGAGGAGGAGGAACTGCCCAGCTGTCTCTGAGGCGGCGTGGGGGAAGCACCTCCTGCATGGAGGCCAGGGCAGGGCTGGGGGTGAACCTGAGCGTGGCGGGACCCTCTGTGCCTGAGATCTCAGCTGGAAGGGGATGTGCAGGTGGGACTCCCTCCCATGAGCCGACAGGCAGACACAATGACAGGGCAGAATGAGGTCCTGGTGCTCAGGGATGCGGAGGAGGCTACTCAACTGGGCCACACAGTCCTGCCAGGGAGGCAGATGACCTGCCAGGTCAGCCCATGGTGATATGCACATTCCAGGACTCAGGCCTTGAAACAAAGAGCAGCCACTGGAACCGCCCAGCCCTGGGGTTCCAGCTGGCATTGGCCAAGGCGTCCGGGGCTCCGGGAGGTCCTGAGCCAGCATGTAATGTGGGTGCCAGGGATCTGAGCCCTGGACAGAATGAGCTCATCCCTGGAGTGAGGGTGAGGAGGGGAGAGAACAAAGAGCTGTCTTGAGCAGGTCGCCATTAAGTGGTCAAGAAGACGGGGAGGGGCTAGCAAAAGAGGATGATAAGGAACTGCCATAAGTGGACACCACAGCCAGAGGAGGGAGTGACAGAGGAGGCAGTGACAGAGCAGGGAGTGACAGGAAGGAGTGACAGAGGAGGGAGTGACAGGGGAGGGAGTGACAGGGGAGGGAGTAATAGGGGAGGGAGTGACAGAGGAGGAAGTGACAGAGGAGGGAGTGACAGAAGAGGGAGTGACTGGCTGGGTTGACAGTTTGAGGAGGCAGAGGGCTAAGGATGATTTTGGGGACTAATTTTATCCCTTTGGATTTTGGGGACTAACTTTATCCCTTGCAACTGGAAAAGCAGACTGGCCTCTTCTTTCTCTGACAGAGCAGCCAGTGAAGCCAGTTTCGCATTTTATTCTGAGAGAGGAGTTCCATGGGAGCCCTTGGCTGGCCTCATCCCAGAGCTCTGTGCAGAAGCCCGGCCACAGAGCCCTCAGTTCTTCCTTGTCATGTCAGTAGCACACGTGTCATGGCCAGGCTCCTGGACCACGGCTGCCCCACCCACCTGGAGGGCTTAGAACTCGCAGATCACAAGGCGCTTTGCTCCACAGGGCACATCGTTCCACTTGCCGTTGCTGATTATCTCCACACAGTCCTCCCTGCCGCTATCGTCGTTGGGCTCCCCAGGGGCCCAGTTGGAATAGACCAGGGACGCCCCGTCTGGGTAGGTGAACCTGCCCTCCGTCCAAAAGTCAGTCATGCTCAGGAACGCAGCACCACTGTTCTCCAACTCGACCAGCTGTTGCAAGGCGTGGTTCTCAGCTGTAGAGCGTGGGGAGGGCAGCTGCCCCCCGGACTGTGAGCACATTTGCTCTGCCTGGTAGAAACTTTTTACAAAGCCTGCTGTCTTGAAGACCTTCTGGCCAACATCTCGGCCATTGGGGTAGAGCTCCACTAGGAGAAGAGGACAGTCAGGTTGGAGTTCCGGGGGCACCTTCCAACACTGGATAGATCAAAGACCTTTGTGTTCTAACCAGAGCCCCAGGCCACCCATAGAGGGCCTCAGAGCACCAGGGAGGACAAAGGTGAGACCCCGGGTGCGGGGTGCGCTCTGGGAGATGGATCTTCCTGTCTAGTTACAGGTGAGGACACTGGACTCAGAGAGGTTACGTACGAGGCTCAACTCCATGTGACCATCATATGCAGAGTTGGAGGATCACTCTTATCTAATCTCACACTAGAGCTGAGATGTGCTCTTTCTTTTTCACCCCATGTTGTATGGCAGAATCGGTTTCCCAGTTACTGGGTGGGACTGGGAAGCTTTGGCATCGTGCAGCCTCTGAGCATTGGAAACAAGGAAGAAGCTTCCTCTGATCTCACTGTGGACCCAGCATAACAGCAGGGCATGAGGCATTGACAGGGAGGTCCGTGCAGGGTGTGGGTGTGGGAAAGAAGAGGAGAGGGTGGGCCATCTGAGGGCAGCGCTGTGCTAATCTCTGCACTGTGTGCGCCCAGTGCTGGCCTCTAGGTGTGCATGTGGGGGAGGCTGGAGAGCTGGGAGAGAGACATCAGCCCCACCTTGGCCATGACTGTCCAGGTGGACAAGGGAAAGTCACTTCCTTTTTGGGGGTTTGCAGTTCTTCATCTCTAAGATGGGAATACAATTTATAAAAGCATCACCTGTGTGACATTCAACTATATGTTTTCATTCAACTATATGTTCTACCTCATTTTCCATCATTTATGTGTGTGTGTGTGTGTGTGTGTGTGTGTGCTTTAATACATTTTTATTGATCTCAGAGAGGAAGGGAGAGGGAGAGAGAAATAGAAACATCAATGATGACAGAGAATCATTGATTGGCTGCCTCCTGCATGCCCCGTACTGGGGATCAAGCCCACAGTCCATTCACATGCACTGACCAGGGATCAAACCATGATCTCCATGGTTCATAGGCCAACGGTCAACCTTGGGCCATGCTGGCCATCCTCATTTTCCATCACTTTGACTTCTGGGTCCATGCATAGAAGCCTTCAGGGCTCCTGAGAGGGCTGTGCTCCAGCCCCAAAGGGGCTGCACACGGATCCACTGTGACCCTTCCACAAGGGTTCAGGAGGGCACCCAGAGCAGCCCTGGACTGGAGTTCATCTGCCATTCACTACATGCACCTGTGTGGGTCTGTGTGTGCACACACAAAC